CAAGTTTAGCTTGTATTTGTTGTCCAGTTCTTTTTCCTTTTCTTTTTACTTTTCTTTTCCTTACATACTTTTATATTTTCTTTTTTTTTCCCATATATTTTCCTTTTCCCCTACTATGGTTTCTGGATTAGATGTTTTTATCTTAATTAATTTATATACCTTACTAAATTTTGTGTTACTACAATCGTCGTACTGACGAGGTCCAATTGTGGTAACGGTAAGAAATGTATACGACTTAATGGACCGAAACATTTCTTATTTATAACAAATATTTTTTATATCCCTTACCTATCTTAATATCCATTTCTTCTTTTCATCATTTCCTTCTTTTCCTATATTTTCTTTTAGCCTTTAATACAGACCTATTGTTTGATGCATGCAGTTTGGAGCGATAATTCAACGATTGGGGCAAATTTCTGATTCTGTTGCTTAGAGCTGTATGTTTTTTCGTTGCTGGAACTTGATCAGTTCAGGTTCGAGATGCCGTTCAACATCTGGTGCCTTGGCTGCAACAACCACATTGGCATGGGTGTACGCTATAATGCCGAGAAAAAGAAAGTTGGCATGTACTACACAACGCCACTCTATGAGTTTCGCATGAAATGCCATCTCTGCGACAACTACTTCGTCATTCGAACCGATCCGGAGGTAGGCAACACTCATTCCTGAAAAAAACCTTCATTTCCACTGCTAAATAATTTTTCATTTAGTGATGCAATTGCTCCTTACGCAGTTTTTAACAAAAGACCATAAATCATTATGTGAAATATTTTGTTCAGAAAGTTAGGACCGAGGCGTTCTTCTTTCCCGTCCGTCTCAGAGAACGTGAAAGTGGAATGAAATTTTTTTTTAATAAAGGAAGAAGAAAAAGCTAGTAATTTGTTAAGAAATCAATAAAAACTTAAAATATATTGTTAAATATATTACAACGGTAAGAAATGTTTCGGTCCATTAAGTTATATACATTTCCTACCATTACCACAATTGGACCACGAAGAAGTACAGCATTTGGGGCGGTAATTTTCGAAATACTTTAGATATGATTGGCATTGATTCGCATCTCTTTTTCCGTATTTGATTGCTGAAAATGAGATTCGAAAATGAGGAGCATCCTCTGTTGTGCCGTTTTTGCAGAAATTAGCTGCTGAATTTGTGATGTAACGCTCTTTTACAGCATTTTGATTACGAACTTGTGGAAGGTTGTCGTCGGCAAGAGAAGCGCTATGATCCATCAACGATTGATCATTTTGCACCAATCGACCGAGGATTCAACAGACAGCTAGAAGGCGATCGAATGTTTCAAGTGCGCCATGCTTTTTGTATTACAAAAAATTGCCCATATTTTCTTATACAGTATTGGAAAGTTTAGGCGCGGTTCTCTTGAAAGACGTGGAGAAATACCGCAAGAATCGAGCAGACTCTACAGGTGTTTCTCGCCACCGCAAATCTGAATCCTTGTTTTGAATGAACTTCAGAAACTCCCCTTCGCCTGTTCTTACCTGTGTTCCAAGATTCCCCTTGTTTTTGCACAGCCAGTGGCGCAGTGTAATGTTAAGTAGCACTTTTCTCAAGCTGACGACCGATGGTTCATTTCTGCTACCGAGAAAACCAATCTTTTTTTTTAATTTTTTTACTGTTTCAGTATAAGTCGACATTGCCATGTTGTGAAGAGTAAAGCCACCATGAAAAATCTGATAAGCAAAATTCTTGAAAAATAAAACGGTAGGCCGTTTTGCTGCAGCAGCGCTGGTGGCCATTGAGTATTTTGTCACTTGGGCCACTCCTGAATGCTTCCACTTCACGTTAAACTGTGGGAAGTCCGCAGAATTTTTCCGAAATCTGCAAAATTTTTCAAAACAGGACTACTGCTATTATCCCCATATTATTGATGACCTATTTTTGCAGTTATTTAAGCTGCTCTCTTTGGTTTTTGGCTTATCGAAGCTCCAAAATTCAGGTCGAACATGTGGAAGAAGACAAAGAGAAAGCAACAAGTTCGGCAGATCAGGTGGACAAGCTGGAATATATCCAGGAAAGGATGCGCGACGATTTTGCAGCAAATCAGGCCCTCAGAAGAAGATTTC